CATTTGATCGACGCACTATGGCCGAGTCCTGCACCACGAAATATCGCGAAAGATCTGTTGCAGCAAGGCGTTCAGGCTCGCCAATGGTACGGCGACATGTTCAACAAGTACTTCCGCGTCCTACAGTCTATCGAATCGTTTCAGCTCCGTCCGGAAATCGATCATCACATCAAGACCAGCGGGAAACTAATATTGATCCCCTTTGTGGACCATCTCATCTTTGGAGCGGTTGACCCGATTATACCAATTGTGGCAAAAGGAGCAGGCTATGCAAATGCGAAAGGGAGAGGAAACGACAGAAATACGCCAGGCTTCGGTGAGCCAGGGAAGTTCGAGATCCGGTTCGATGCACCGGCCGAGGTCACAGATACGTATACGAAGAGCGTTGTGCGGCAGTGTGAGTGTATGAAGTGTGGTACGAAACGAGACGTACAGGTCGTGATATCAGTGGACCCGAATCCAAATGCTGGAGCGAGTGCAGGCACATCGTCAACCAGCCGACAGCGCGACACAGCGCCACCGAACTCCAGGACTGCACAGAGATACAGCCCAGGCTACCAGATGCCTACCCAGAACGACCCAGCACCTCCCCGCCAACCCCCTCGGCCACAGGCACAACCACCCCAGGAACCCTCTCCATCTCAGCGCCCTTCGACACCCGATCTCAAAAAGCAATGCCCCCGCTGCACCTTCCTCAACGACCCCGCCCTCACAGCCTGCGAAATGTGCGAAGCCTCTTTACCTGAAGCCACAATCGCGAAGCCGCCCAGTCCAGTGTCCAACAGAAAGGCTTCTTCGCACTCACACTCCGCATCGCATCCACCACCCAACAAGCCTCGAAGCAGAGAAGAAGCACTCCGACAAGAACAAAGACCCGGCGCGCCGAATAGACACAGTCTGAGTCAAAGCCTCTTCTCCATCTTCCCATTCTCGCAGCAACAGCAGCAGGAGCATCATGCTAAGTTGCCGCCTACACAACAAGTTGATACCTCTGCTGCTGTGAAAACAGCGCCTGCACCAATGCAGGAGATGAGGAAGACAGAAGACCCTCGACCTTCTTCAAAAGAAGCCAACAAACCACACATCTCTCATTCTCCACATCCACCTCCCCAGACCGAACCGTCCTCATCCCGTCACGCTGCCACCACACCACCACTATCCAACCACCCCGAAATGGCAATGATGCCCCTCTCCCCCTCCCCACCCTCATCTTCGCATCCACGCCCCGCTCCCGCTGGTCTCCCGAGTAACCTCATGGACGACTTCGTCCCTGTGTCTCCTGCGTTCCCTCAAGACGACGAGGATGAGGATGCGGGGTGGGGGTCTATGAGTAGGGAAGAGGCAAGGGGGCAGGAGAGTAGTAGTGAGGAAGACGATGACGATGAGGGAGGAAGTGGTAGGGGGAAGGGGATGATTGATCTAGATGCTGTGGCGAGGGAGGAGGCTGATGTTTGGGGGGATAGGGAGGATTGATTGATTGTACATGCGGAGGGGGTTGATGGACATGTCGGTGTTGATTTTGAAGAGATCTTTGCTCAGTTCAGTGTTTAGATATTTATGCCTGGCGTTCATCTTTACACGTTGAACATTGATAGGATTGAGATGACGAGGTTGAATTGAAGGGACTCTTAGTTGCGTTTGTCTATACTCCCAAACACCCGTTCCCAAGCCCACGTCTTCAGCGCAATAGAAATATACGGCCAACTCCACGCTTCATGGTCTTTCACCTGCCCGCTCCATGCAATGCACCAAGCGCCCACACCTGTTGTTCGACGTCTGCGACAAGCTTTGCACATGGCAACCATTCCTGCTCTCCACACACCGGAGGAGTATGTTCAGTACACGGCCGCACGCCCATCGTAGTCGGCCCTAACGTCATCCACAAAGTCATCCTACGAGTTGAGGTAGTTCCGGACAGCGCCTTGCAGTTTCGTCGCACCCTCGCCGAGCATGTTCGTCAGGTTCTCGAGATCGTCGCCAGCGGTAAGACCAAACTTGCGGACAAAGTCCTTGGCGGCGGTTTCGAGGTCGCCGTAGTCTTCATCGCCGACTTCGTCTTCGGGTCGGCCAAAGTATGCGTTGGAGGAGATAGCGCTCGCGCCTTCGAAGCCTACATAGCAAGTTAGTAATCGAAACGTGTATGCTTTTACAGATCTCACGTACCTGATAATCTCTCCTTGGCCTGCGCGGTGGCAGTAGGATCGAATGCGTTGCGTCCAAAGAACTCGTCACTGGAAATGCCCTTTTGTGTGCCAAACTTGTCGCGCGCGTACTTCTCGCCGTCATCCTGCGCAGGCTTGCCGACACTGCCGAAGCCACCCATCTTCTTCTGCGGTGCAGCCTTTTTCGCTGCACCCACTTGTCCGAAGCCCAGACGTTGTACCCCCATGCCTAACCTCTCCATATCTTGGCTGGAGCGCTCGGTCTTGGAGGTGGAGCCGAAACCGCCGCGTGGCGGTGATACGGGAGTGGGAGAGACAATGGCGGATGCTTCGGGGGCTTTCGACTTGGTGGCTGCTGCGGCCTCAGCGGCTTCGGCTTCGGGATCGTAGCCCAACTTCTCGATGCGCTCTGCCTCTTCACGGGCCTTTCGCTCTGCCTCCTCAAAGTCTAGGCCTCCATCTGCGGCAACCACCTTCTTTGCTCCGAGACCCTTCTTCTTAGCTCCCAGAATGTTCTTCTTTGGCGCAGCGCCGGTGGTTGTCTTTCGTACGGCTGCGGGCTTTGCGGCGGGTGTGCTCGATTCACCGCCAACGAGTGGCGACTTGGGACGGTCTGTTCCATTGCCGTTGGCGCCCGGCTTCAGGAAGGGTGATCCTCCAACCTTGGGTGTACCGGTACGTGAGGGTGGATTCGACGGGCGCTTGATGGCGGGCTTGTCCCATGAGGAGAAGAAGTCGTCTTCGTCATTGGCTGGCGTGTTGGTGCCGTCGGTGCCAACTTCGGGCACATCTGTAATAACGACCTCGTTGGGGTACCTGCATAAATTGATTAGCCTAGTTTACCGTGTAAGACAAGTTCTTCTTACATCCTAGCGTCCGCGGCGCAGCGCCTGGTCAGCTCCTCCTTGTACTTGGTGGCGGCATTGCTGGTGTATTTGGCCTTATGGTCTTTACTCGCGAGCGCAGCAGAGCCTCCGTGCGACTGGAAGTACTTGGTAGCGCTTTCGTTGCCGCCCACTTTCATGATTCGTAATTGATCCCATTGCCAGACTACCCCCAATCAGTATGTATATTGCATAGCCACGAGACTCGGAGTGAACGTACTGTCGAGGTTGGTGGATCGTACGAAGGAGATGTGGACACCCATGTTACGATGGTTGGACGAGCAGTCGAGGCACAGGTAGATGCCAAACGGTACGGAACTCCATGTTGGGTTCTTTGCGCCGCAGTCGAAGCATATCTAGGGATGTGTTAGGCATTGACCGAGTATCTGTCTACTGGTAAGACGTACCTTGTTCGCGGGCTTCGACTTCAATTTGGTAAAGATGTTCTGCGACTCGGTCTTGGTGGCGAGGGCAGCCATGGTGGGAGTGGGTAGGAATGGGGCGGGTTGGCGGTAAAGGAGTCGAGCTGTGGTGGGGATAATTTGGGTTGCGGCGCTCGGGAATGCTAGGGTGTCGTTTCCAGGAAGCCGCGTTCTTGACACGTGATACGCGCGATTGCAGGTGCAGGTGGTACCTCGATGTCGCAACTTCTATTCCTACTTTCGCTTTCACCAAACGTTTTATACTCGATGTATTGCGCTCAAGTCTGTGTTATTCATATAGTTTTTCTTTCGAACCGTCTTTGTGGTCAAGAGACGCCTCCCGAGGTCAGAACCATGGTTACGACACGGTGCTACGCGCTCACTTCGCGCGCCTGAATTCGATCGCTACACTGTAGACAAGACCCAGAGCTGTCGTTGGCGACTATGAAACCTTCACCATTCTTTCGCTAGTCTATGCTCGAAGGATGACATAGGCTTCGGACGCCGTCTTCCTATCTCCCTATCTTCCCGTCCCACGACCTGACGCGACAGCACAAGTGGGGTATGCATATACAAATGATGGCATACCTCACCTGCCCCCAAGTAGCAGCTTGGGTCTATTGCATACTCACATATCAACTTTCATAGACTACAGACTACAGCATCCCACAACTCGCCACCATGTCCACCCCCCAAACCATCCCCGCCCGCCGCGGAGCAGCCACCCTCGTCAAAGCCGGGCAGAAGATAAAGATAACAAACACGTACGGGAACCAAGTCGTCGATACCTGGGCGCTCGCACTTCCTTCCTCTGCCCTCTCCACCGCGTCCTCAAAAGTCGAAGCACCGCTCTACCCCAACGCGACTTCCGACTCGCCGTCCAAATACTCTGCTACTGCGAACGCCGCTGCCAGCGCGCCCGAATACATGTCCATGTGCCACTGCCGAGCAACGCTTCTGAAAATAACGCCGGCAGTGGGTGATATCATGGTCAGTCAGAAGAGGGCGCCTATGGTCAAGTTGGTGGAAGATACAAGTCCAGGTGTGCATGACACTTTGGTTGCGGCGTGTGATCGGTGGCGGTACAGTGAGCTGGGTGTAAATGGATACCATGAGTCTTGCACAGACAACTTTTGGGATGCTTTACACACGCTGAGCACGTCTTCGTCTCTCGCGGCTGAGTATAAAGAAGCGCTTGAGGGCCTTCAGGCAAAGATGGGGTACAGGGTCCCGGATCCGTTCAATTTGTTTATGAACATTCCTATCACGCAGGAAGGTGAGGGAGCGAAGAGAGGCATTAGCTTTGAAGAGCCGAAGACGAAGGCGGGAGACTATGTGGTTCTGGAGGCGCTCAGGGATGTGGTGGTTGTAATGAGTGCGTGTCCTCAGGATGTTCTTACGATCAATGGGAAGAATCCGGTGGATGCCCATTATCAGGTCCTGGACTGAAGCAACAAGGATGAGTCCACGGGTGAGTCGTACGATAGAGCTATCAATATTCATAGATGAATTTCATATAACGTTACGTGAGTTCATCTCAGATACGAGAACAGCGAGTTCGGTCCAGCCGATTCCAAACTGACAAAGAACGTGAACAGTAAGCACCCTGCTATGAGCCCCGCCCGCCATATCCAGTGCACCACTTGCCCTCTCCGGCTCTGGTCTCTCCTCTCTTCGTTCTCTCTGGACAACCGTCGCCCTACATCAGGCCACTTACCGACCACTAGAGCTGCAAAGTACCATGCTGCCAGGTGAATGAACGACGCCAGTGGTAAGATGGCTAGGATCCAGATGACGAAGAGTCTACTGCGTAGAATGGAGGAGATGCCGAAGATGTCTGCCAAGCGCGTGAGAAAGAAAAGCGCGACGGTGCTGACCATGATGATCTGGGAGACCAGAAGGACTAGGTGATCGTGATACCAGTCGTGCGAGGCGAAGTTCTCGTAGGGGTATGTTGGAAGGTTAACGAGCCGACGGCAGTTCTCAGAATCGAATGGGTCTGGGTCGACGGCGCTCGGATCCTCCGTCTCTTCGGTCGCCGCTGTTCCAAGCGGAGACAATGTATCTTCGTTCACGCGGGACGCTTCTTGCGCCTTTGCGTCGTCGTCAAGGTACGCCTGTGCCATAGAGAGAAGTGGCAGTAGAAGCAGGATCAACGGTAAAGTCTGACCGAAACCCCATGAGTTCTCCTCAGAAATCTTCTGGTTAAGAGTAAAGTTGTAGCCGTCATAGTTCCATGACGCTGCAGCGCGTGTGTCCCAGACTTTGATGGTTCCCCAGGCCATTGCGAATGTCAGCCAGAGGATCTCTAGTAGCATTGACTCAGAGACATCGTAGATGGCTCGGGTGATGATGAAGCCAGCGTACGAGAGCAGGTATGGTGCGTGCCAGATATATGCCTGAATCGTATGAGATGATGTCTTGTCCTCCAAGGATTTAAGGAATCGCTTGAACTTTGTTCCAGGCAAGGTCCGAAGGCATGTGCGGGACACATGTCCATCTCGGTCAAGTAGTTGCATACCACACCGAACAAAAGACACACCAACGATAACCACAGAGAAGATCATAGACCAAATCTTCGGACCTCGCCGTAGGAATGAACGCATCCCAAGCTCTTTGTAGAAGCAAACAGCGCTCAAACTGGGATAGAACCCCTCACCATCATCAGGATACCCATTGAGCCACATCCTCGACCCCGTCGGAAGCAAAGCCGCAATCAACAAGGAAGCAAGTAGAACCATAAAGGCCAGTCTGATAAGCCGCATGCTTTTGTTGGTCTGGGAGCAGCCTTCGAGAAACGCCGTAGCGGACACGAAAGCGAAACTGGCGAACCACGAAATGAAGACCATCATCTGCCAGTGATACGCAGAGATGCCGCATTTTAGTTGCGAGTAACCGGCGATGAGGATCGCAGTGCCGGTGACTAGGTTCAGGTCGCTGAGGATTAGGACGGACTTTTCGATGGCGTATTGGAAGCGCCGGCTTGGGGTCCATGAGAAGATACGTGAGCGTATGAATGATAAGATCTGGTGGTCGACTGCATTGATGTGGGTATTTACTGTGCTCTTTGTTGGGTGGACGTTGTGGACGGTGATGTAGTGGATGATGAGCAGGAGCAATGTTAGATATGCTGAAATTGAGAATCCCAAGATGACCTATCGCCCGGAGGTTAGTCGACTTGGTAGATGCTGAGACTTCATACTCACTCCGATGCCTGAAAGATCCGAATCCGGCAATAGAGGCGGCACGTTGGTGAGGTTTGTCAAATTAGTTGAAGCGAGCCACGCGCAGCTGGGCAATTGACAGCGGGTGACAACCTCTTTCACCGTAGTGTTCATCATAAGTTCATCTGAACATGGTCGAGATGGTAGAAGCAGAAAGAGAAGCTGGACGCCCGGACACGAGAGGCATCGCTCGCGCCATCAGCCGCTCCAGATGTTACTGCCCTGGGATCAGGCCGGCGGTCAATACTAGTCGCGCCGAGGTATACATGTATTCATAGTCGTCAGTTGTTCCAGATGCGGTACAGCTCTGCTGAATGCATAAGATCGCGGGGCTCTGCAAATCGAACTTGTTGCGCGGCCTTGAGGAACAGATTAGGAAATGAAGCCATGGTGTTGTCAGGCGCGTGCCAGGTGATGGATGGGTGCAACTGCCCGGACAAACGACGCTAGCATTGGATGCGGGACTAGCGCGGCGGCGAGGCGAACGATTTTCCCCACCGGTATCGATAGCGTCGTGAACTTTTTTGCCCTGAAGTCTCTCCAACGCGCAGACGGCTTTACACGACATCAACACCCGCAGTCGCCAAAATGAAGACCCAGTGGAAGGATATCCCCGCAGTGCCCACGAGCCAGGAGTTTCTGGACATCGTGCTTTCCAGGACCCAGAGGAGGTAGGTACCTTCCTCGACACAATTGCGCAAAGCGCCTTCCCTCTACCACCCGGCGCTTTGCGACTTCGGTTGCGCAATGCATATCGCATAAAGGATGACAAAGCTGACTGAATATCAGATTGCCGACACAGATTCGTGCTGGATTCAAGATCAGCAGAATTCGAGCCTTCTACACGCGAAAAGTCAAGTACACCTCCGAAACCTTTACCGAGCGCCTCTCCACCACCATCGAGGCTTTCCCGCGCCTCGCCGACATCCACCCGTTCCACCGCGATCTGCTCAACACCCTATACGATGCGGATCACTTCAGAATTGCGCTTGGTCAGCTTTCGACTGCAAAGTCGCTGATTGAGACGGTTGCGCGCGACTATGTCCGTCTTCTCAAGTACGGACAGTCTCTCTTCCAGTGCAAGCAGCTGAAGAGGGCCGCGCTGGGTCGTATGGCCACCATTTGCAAGAGGTTAAAGGACCCTCTCGTCTACCTTGAGCAGGTTAGGCAGCATTTGGGTCGTCTTCCGTCCATCGACCCCAACACCCGCACACTTGTCATTTCCGGCTTCCCCAACGTCGGCAAGTCTTCTTTCTTGAAGTCCATCTCCAGGGCCGATGTCGAGGTACAGCCCTACGCTTTCACCACCAAGAGTCTGTACGTCGGACATTTCGACTACAAGATGCTCCGGTTCCAGGCCGTTGACACTCCCGGTATCTTGGACCACGCGCTCGAAGACATGAACACCATCGAACATCAGTCGATCTGCGCTATTGCCCATCTCCGCGCCCACATTCTTTACTTCATGGATCTCAGCGAGCAGTGCGGTTACTCCGTTGCCTCGCAAATCGCTCTTTTCAACAACATCAAGCCTTTGTTCGCCAACAAGCTGATCTCCATCGTCATCAACAAGATCGATCTTATGCGCCCGAACCAGCTCGACCCCGAGACCCAGGAACAGCTACAGGGTATGCTCAAGTCCGGCGAAGTTGAGATGCTTGAGCTCTCTTGCAACACGACTGAGGGTGTCATGGCTGTGCGAAACTCGGTCTGCGACCGCTTGATCGCTGCCCGTAACGCTGAGAAGCTGAAGGCCGGTACCAACAGCGCCGGCGAGCCTTCTGGCCGTCTCGGTGAGCTGCTTCGCCGTATTCACGTTGCCCAGCCGTTGGGCGGCGTTACCCGCGAGACTTCCATCCCAGAGGCGGTGCTCAACAAGAAGAAGTACGACAAGGAAGACCCTGACAGGCCGCTCCTTGAGCGTGATCTGGAGGAGGCAGACGGTGGAGCTGGTGTGTACAACATCGATCTCCGCAAGAACTACATGCTCGAGAACGACGAGTGGAAACACGACCGCATTCCTGAAGTCTTCAAGGGCCAGAACGTCTACGACTTCATCGACCCTGACATCGAGGCCAAGCTTGCTGCGCTCGAAGCCGAGGAGGAGAAGCTGGAGGGTGAGGGCTTCTACGATTCCGACGACGACCTTGAAGACGCAGAGGAAGCGGACATCAGGTACAAGGCAGAGCTCATCCGTGAGAAGAGGCAACTCATCCGGAACGAGGCCAAGATGCGCAAGAGTCTCAAGAACAGGGCCGTCATTCCCAGGACCAAGAAGGCCATGCAAATGTCAAAGATGGAGACACATCTGGAGAGTCTCGGCTACGATCCCTCAGCGGCTGTCGAGCGTACGACTGCAAAGGCGGAGGCGCGAGGCCGCAGCTTGGCTCGTGGAAGATCAGAGGCTCCTGGTGGCGATGCTATGGAGGTCGATACGCCTGGTGCTGCTATGCTTGCGCGTGCTAAGAGCCGAGGCCGCAGCCAGAGCACCAACAGGAGGAATGATGGTGTTACGAATGAGGTTGCCGCTTCCAAGGCCGAGAGGCTGCAGAAGCTGTCGCAGCAGAAGATGAACAGGATGGCCAGACAGGGTGAGGCCGATAGGCACCAGACTGGTTCTTTGATCAAGCATTTGGTAAGTTTGCTTCTGAAACCTTTTGCTCTCGGCACAGTTGCTAACAGTTATCTAGACTGCAGGAAAGCGTGGTATCGGAAAGACCAGCCACAGATAAGCGTGGAGTCTTATGCGTTCTTGCATTGCGTGTTTGCAGGTGGGAAAAATCATGGCTGGCGTTTGGGATGCATCAGATACCAACTCGCTGTTGATAAAAGCAGCGTGGTAATGCAATACTTCTTTCCATCACTACCTTATCTCGAGCGAAGTGATCGCGCAATATTTTGTTGACGTTGGTGATGTCCAACAGACTTCTAGGCTTGACACATGTGAAGTTATTGCCCGACCTAACACCAACGATGTGCACATCCAAGGCATCGCACATAGACTACACAGCAAGATCACGGCACAAGCCTGCCGCACCTTTGTGGTAGTGGGATCCTGCAGGGCGAAAATAGCATGACCCTGCGCTCAGCCTTGTTACGCCCTGCCGAGGCTTTTTGCTTACCGATCCTTCAAAGCGTGGTTTGGAAGGCGCTCTGAAGTTGCGACAACCACCGACCCACGATCACATTTCCACGATGTTTTACGACCGCAAAATGACTCCAGGGAATGCCGCAGAGGTTTCACTGTACGGTGCCGATATCTACTAGCTGCTCGATGCAACTTCGCGCAAGGGCAACACGCAGGTGAAGATGAGCGTAAGCACAACGAAACCCTTCAGTCCCGTCCCGCGTGCGGGCGCGTAGAGTTCTCACTTTCCAACCTCCTCTTTTCCTCCCGAGGTCTCCCGTTCGATGGGGTTTTTGCGCTATCGGTATTAGTGCATGCCAAGTAATCCAAGCGTTTCGGTTGAGTTGTTCCGCATCCGCTGCAGCGACTGAATCCTTGTCCTTGCGCTACACCATTCCACTGCGAGATTGTGTTATGGCGTTGTACCGGAATACAAGTGGTCGCCTATTCACAGATGGCTTCTGTCGTCTTTTCCCACGGACGGTACAGTTTCCAAAAGCCAGAGCTTTCTGCTCAAAACCGACTCGTTCTCTGGCTTACTACTCAACGGACGAACCCGCTAAGCTATTTGAATACACATCAGGCCGATGGATGTTTGTCAAACCCTTCTACCAAAACCGTCGCTCATATTGACCATGGACTGAAGTTGGAATGATGCCTCGAAGCACTCTGAACGGAGACGCGTCTTCGATGTATCAGAGTTCAAGCGCTTCGCGGCCGCAGCTGTCAATCAGAACGTAGAAGACGTGACTTCCTTCGAAAAACTAGCTGAAGGGGGTTTCAATCGAACCTTTCTGATCACGATGCGTGACGGCTTCCAGTTTGTTGGACGCATCCCTTATCCGGTTACAGAGCCGAAGCACCTGGTCGTAGCCAGTGAAGTTGCGACGATGGATTTCCTCCGTCTACACGGCATACCTGTCCCCAAGGTCTACAGCTACTCAGCTACAGCGGAGAACGCTGCTGGCACCGAATATATCTTCATGGAGTATATCCGGGGCACGAACTTGGGTGACGTTTGGTTTGACCTGTCTGAAAAGGCTCGGATTGCCGTCGTCACTAAACTCGTGGAGCTGGAGTCTCAATTGTTTGCTCTTGAGTTTCAGGCAAGCGGTAGTCTGTATCACACCAAGGACTTGCCAGCTGGATTCGATAAATTCGAGGGTCCTATCGCCAAATCTGCCCGCGATGGCGACTTTTGCATTGGTCCTGACACAAGGCTCCGCATGTGGTATGGGAAACGGGGCGATCTTCAGATTTATCGCGGACCACGTACGTGCTAGCTCTTCCACTTACACAGCCAGATCCACGTTTTGTTGACCATCTGCTACAAGCCATCTCAACTAATTATTCCAAAGATAGAGATCCAACATCGGCACTTATTGCTGGGGCCAAGAAAGAAATCGCATGTCTGACGAAGTTCGGTCGACCGCTTCACCCCTTCCAACATCTACGGCGAGAAATCTACAACTATCAAAAGCAATCGCCCTTGGATCATCTTGCCAGCCTGGAGAGATACTTGCAAATTGCGCCTTATCTCATTCCGCATGACAGCGAAGCTCTTGCCCGACCGACACTACGGCATCCCGATCTCCAACCAAACAATGTAATTGTCTCGGATAAACTTGAAATCACTGGTCTAATCGACTGGCAACACTGTGCAATACTCCCGCTCTTTCTGCAGTGCGGTATCCCAAATAGCCTCCAGAATTACGGTGACGCCATCTCAGAATCGCTTGAAGTGCCCGAATTACCACCCAATTTCGACGACTCAAGCGAGAGGGAACAATTCGAGCAGGCCGTGCTCCTACGACGGCGTCAACTGCACTACTACTATATTGCAAAGACTGCACGACTAAACTCGGTTCATTACAACGCCCTAGCCCACGACTTCAGCATAATAAGACGAAAACTCTTTGATCACGCGAGTGAACCCTGGGAAGGCGATAACGTCACATTGAAAGCTGACCTCATCTATTTAATGGAGAACTGGTCGCGCATCACCGCCCCAGAATCAAGCGCAAGGGGTGATTCGAAGGTTCCTTGTCCGATATCTTTCACAGAAGACGAGGTGACCGAGTGCAAGCGTCTGCATACTGCGCAGACTGAGGCAGACGAGCAGCTCCAGACCTGTAGGGATGTTGTTGGCATCGGCCCGGAGGGATGGGTACCCTTAGAGCAGTACGAAGAGACTAGGCAACGTGAACGAAAGCTCAAGGCCGCCGCGCTTGACTTAGCTGAGTCGAACGAAGAAAGAGCGAGGCTCGAAGAGCATTGGATCTTTGGTGATTTTGATGAAGAGGAGTATTCGTGAACAATCACCAAGAAGGGCTGCTGAAGGCAGGAAAGTTCCTAGGCTCTGTCTCCGCTGCACCCGCGCTCCGTCCTCTTAACCTCTTCCCTGAGTCTATCCGACGAGCCAATGGAGGGCCGTTCGGCGATGCCAACGCCATCCTACTTCTGAAATCGCTCGCACTGCTCTTTCCTCACACTTTCCGTCTTGAAGACTACCTTACGGATGCCGCTCTCGATCTGCTTCCACTTCTAAATCAAGGCTGTATTCTTGTTGCAAACGCATTATACGGCAACTTCACCAGCGCACAGATGTTCAAGAAGGTTACTTGGTACGAGCATCCAGATGTTGTCGACTGGCAAAAGCGCTACAATGGCGCTGGTCCGCACGCTCTCGCTGCACCTATGCTTGTTGTTCAGGGCATCGCCGACGCTTTGGTGTACGCAGTCAACACCAGGAGTGACTTCAACCGCACTTGCAGCGCTTTCCCAGAGTCTCGTGTGTCGCTACTTTTGTACCCGGAGGTCGATCACTTGGGTGCCTCGATGGTCACAGTCCATGACTATCTTGCTTGGATTGAGGATCGCTTCGATAGCGTGAAGGTGCCGGAAGGCTGTCATACTCACACGTTAGAGACGATTACGAACGCGTTCAGAACTGCGGTATCCTACTACAGTGGAAGTTAGTTTAACAGTCGTCCGCAAAGTCTATGACCTTATTATCGTTGTATTACTTCGTTAGCGAGTAGAAACTCTACTACGTCTACAAATAGTCTATTACTACAAACCGTTGTTATGCAAAAACCGGGGATTTGAAGCTGTGCACATGTGACACCAAAAGGCTAGTCCTATAAAAGCGACGTTCCTTTGCTAGTACACAAAGAGCGTATTTATAAAGGTTTCAACACGTGGGCAGAAAACATACAACCCTGGGCAATTCCTAGAATCTCCCATGTTAGCACTGCGTGTGAGACATGACAACTTCGTACATCAACATTTGTGCGCAGTTGTTGTTCTCTGCAAGGCGCAGTGCGCCTTCTCTAGCTCGTCGACGAGGCCATCCGCCATTGGTGCGTTCGTAGGTTAAAGTGGATCATACATCACAGCCCCTGCAAACGCCCTGCACCTCTTGGCTCATCGTCACGCGCCTAACGATGCGTTGACCAAGCACAACATCGTCATTCTTGTCGACACCACTCATAATCCTGGCGAATCCCAACCTCCCAATGATTCGAGATGCACCCGCACGCTGCGCCCTCAAGCCATGTCGTAGGATTCAACGGAATCCCACCTCTAACATGAGGTGCATTGTCTTACAGGAAGACTTTCTGGCCCCCATCATGATGCCATGTATTGGAGGCCTTAGTTGTAATTTCAATAACCGCTCTACTTCGCCCCATGGCTTACTATTGGCAACGTGCCTGATCGGTACAGCTTGGTTTAACCTTGTATTAACCTTGTATCGTACACTCACGATCCCCGGATCCCACGTTGTCGCGTTTCCTACGGTTGTACAGGCACGGGTCTTCGACTATGGGATATATTAATATGCTGGACGTGAGGATGTGGAGTTCATTAGCTCTGATGCTAGCGACTACGACGTTTGCTTCACCTACAAGTATGTTTGCAGGTGTGGAGATGATGTGGCAGTAAACAAGACGCTTACTGATACAAGAGCAGGTCTAGCAGAATATGTATCTAATCGCGCCCTCGAAGCACGGCAATACAGTGCTGCGAGATGCGGCAGCCCATTTACGACACTGAACGGCGCCAACTACACCACATACTGTGATCAAAACATACGCAATAATGGTGAGCAGCAGATCACGCGATATCCTCCAAGAGGAACCAGAGTTAACAGACATCAGACGCGCCAACCGAAGCTATTCAACTAGACAGCTTCGCAGAATGCATAGAACACTGCTCACGGTTCTGGGGCCCCGGCGGAGGATGTTTCGGCGTCCTCTGGGTAGACCCCGACAACATCTGCTACATGAAGAACAGCAGCGCGACCGTCGATCTCCTCGAACCAAACCCCCACCGGTACACCGCCCTCATCGAGAGGAGCGAAATGAACGGCTTCGACGAAACATGTCCGCACGAGGATCTTTCCACCAACACCCTCCCCGGCGTCCACGGCATGCAATACACCACGCACTGCGGGCAGATGATCAAGGCAAACGTAGCTGACTTTGACGGGTATCCCCATCTCGAGGGCAACTACCAATGGTTCCACCACGCCGAGTCCCTCGATGAATGCATGCAGATATGCGTCGATTCGCAACCGCTCTGCACAGCCGTATTCTGGAACCCTACCATGGTAATCGGTTTCGCCAACTGCATTCTCAAGACGGGCGATGATTCTGGATACACAGATAGCCTGGACGTAGGCGCGGGAATCATCCTCTTTCACTCGGCAGTCATGACGCAAATTGATCAAATCGATACGAAATGTCCAGATCGGGAATCGTATACCGCGGCCGCGGGCACGGCGGATGCGAAGGGCTTTGAAGTGCACTGTGGGAGGTTGAATCCGGGGACTAATATTACGAGTTTGCATTCGCAGAATATTACGGCTTGTATGGATGCTTGCGCCGAGGAGAACGTGGGCTGTAAAGCTATTCTCTTCGACTCGACATTGAAAGGCGGGTTCAACAATTGCTACCTCCAGAACACTACGAGTGTGATTAGCGAGCAGCCAGGCGCGACTTACGCTGTCCTCCTCGACGTGGAGATCCCCTCTTCCTCCCCATCATCTGGAGCCACCCTAAACAGCAACGACTCCTCCCCCAGCAAAGCATGGATAGCAGGCCCGGTAATCGGCGGTCTGGTCGCCCTCGCACTAATCGGCTTTGCGGCCTTCTGGTGGCGCAAGAGAAAGGCGATGAAGCTTGCTAACGGAGAGAAGAGCCCGTATAATAGAGAGAGCATGTATGGTGCTGTGCCGCCGCAGTACGTTGATGCGCAGCACGTGGATGCCCAGTATGTGGATGCGCCGGATTCGGATACTGTGAGGAGTGAGTTGCCGGCTAGTACGAAGTATGCGCATAATCATGGGCCGAGGAGTGAGCCGCAGGAGATGCCTTCCTAGGGGGGATGGTGGTGGTGGGGATGAATGGGGGACTACGGCGACTGTGGGGATGGCTGAGGTGATTTTTTTTGCCACTGCATATAGTGTATTCACGTTGGAATTGTAGCGTTCGTAGCGTGTCTGCAGGTTACAAAGTGTATAAGAAGCGTGCAACCGTACAGTATCAATGCAAAGGCATGTGGTGGAGACATGCTCCTACATTCATCATACATTGTATACATCCTACACACTCATCTTCATCGCAATACTCGCATGCGGCTTGTATCCCAGTACCTCAAACTCCTCCGCCTTCCACCCATCTATGCTGCCCCCAACCTCCCTGTTTATCTTCAGTTCCGGGAAATCGCGCGGCTCCCTCTCCAATTGCACCTTCAGCGCCTCCACATGATCCAGATAAACATGCGCATCCCCCATTGTATGCGTAAAAGTGCCCGGCGTGAGATCGCATACGTGCGCCAGCATATGCGTCAGCAACGCATAACTCGCAATATTAAACGGAACTCCCAAGCCCATATCGCAAGACCGCTGGTACAACAAACTATGCAACACACCCCTCGGTCTCTCCTCCCCCTGCTTATGCCCCGGAAAACTAACATAAAACTGCGCAAACATATGACAAGGCGGCAGCGCCATCTTCTTGATATCCGCCGGATTCCACGCGCTCAGTATAATCCGTCTATCATACGGTTTATTCTTGAGCTTATCGATGATCTCAGCGAGTTGGTCGACGCCCTGACCTGTGTAGTCTTCCGCATGCCCCTTGTATTCAGCGCCGAAATGCCGCCATTGGAAACCGTAGACGGGGCCTAATTCGCCTTCTTCGTAGTGGGAGAGGCCGACGCTATCGAGGTAGGTGCGGCTGCCGTTTCCGTCCCAGATCTTGATTCCAGCTTCTGAGAGGGATTTGCTGTGCGTGCTGCCCGCGACGAACCAGAGGAGTTCGCCTATTACGGCGCGGAGGAAGACGCGTTTTGTGGTGAGGAGGGGGAGGATGGGGGTTGGTGGTTGCGTTGGGTCGCTGGATGGGCGCGAGAGGGCGAATTTCATTTGGGGTGGGAAGGGGACGGCGAGGGTGCCGGTGCCGGTTCGGTCGGGGCGGTGCTCGCCATTTTGGATTATGTCGCGGATCAGGGAGAGGTATTGGTGTTCTTCGTGGGTCGGGTTGCTGGATGGCATGGCGGTGGTGGGTAGTGGGGTGGGTTGGATGGATGCTTCTTTGGCGGTTTCTTTGGCAGGCTCGGGGGTTATCACGGGTTCGAGAGCAGTGGGAGGCATTTTGGTTGTCTTTTGGGGAGTTGGAGTCTGGTTTGGAGGGCGTGGTTCGGAGTCAAAGATTAAGTCGCGAGCGCGTTGGGAAGGCACGAAGGGTGCCGTGGACCGCGACTGCGCGAGTGGCTCGTGTGGCGCGCCGTATTCAATGTCGCTGATCTAACTGCTTTCGCATCTGCCACAAAACACCCACACCGCAAGAACACGAATGAGAAGTGGGGAGTATGGAAGAAGAACAAGCAGCTCACCATCTGCTGAATGTAGTGGAAGAACGAGGCCTTAAGGTAGATCTCGACAACATTCTTCTGGGGTTCGAGGATGCGGATACAAAGCACGAAGCTGCGGCGTGGGTCGACGAGTACCTCCACGAAGACACTTTACTGAGCAAAGAAGAGCTAGAGCTGTGGGTACACAGTTTAGTTGTTTTGATCTAAGCTAATTGAAGTTCTAGGTACCAGACTTTGAAGAAGAAGGGTCTCTTACACCAGTACGAAAGCGACGGTGAACCCATCCGACCTATCTTGGACCACGAAATTGCTGCGGCTATTGAATCGCTGAAGAGTTCTACTACTGCGATTGAAGAGCAATGCCGAGTTTTGGAGACTCAGAAAGATGCATTGATGAAGCTTAAAGCTCTCGATAAGCCCAACTTGGACGTCGAGCATGCAAGGAACGAGCGAAGAAGGAAGGAGGTTCAGGAAAAGACTCGACTAGACGTCTCTGTAAGTCCCAAATGTCATTAATGGTTCTTCGCTAACTTTAGTAGGTTGACGATATCGTTGCATCGGTCACAGAACAGATGACCGACGCCCAACGAGAGATTGATTCTGAAAGGTCAACACTCAAAGGTTACCTGTCAGAGCGCTTTGCATCCGACGATCAAATTCTCAGCCGACTTCCTAAGCTGGTATCGCAGATTGTCACCGAGCCTGAAGTCAGCGAGGACGAGAAGTCGATGGAGCAGTGGTGCAAGGCTATTATCTCTTTCCGCGCGGCGGAGATCAAAGCTCGCGTCGACACTGTGTTCCTCACCAATGCATCGGGCAATTCCCCGAACGGCGTTGCAGAAACAGAGGAAGACCTCAAAGAGAGAAAGATTGCTCTGCAGGCTGAGCTGGAGGAGCTTCACTCGGAGATCGCGTCTGTTGCTGAAATGGTCGTCGAGCACGAGATACGTAAGCCAATGACTGAGATGAAGGAGCGCAAGGATAGGGACAGAACACAGGCACGAACGGCTTGGCTGAATTATGTGAGTACATCTCAAGTGTCATTGAATTATTGCTAACAGATCAGGTGCTGTCAACCCTTGAGTATATGGGCAAGCGTCTCAACATAGTCAATACTGGCACAAAGGACACTGACGAGTTCCAACAAGCACTCGCGCATGTTCAAGCAGCAGCAGCGAAGCGTATACCGGAGACACACCCACCGGTTGGAACGCCCGTCTTGAAGCGCATGAGGTCTGACACGTCGGCTTTTACCCCCATGGTGAAGCTCAAGCCCACGGCGACGCTCGACCTTCCGGTCACACTGCAAGACGCGCTTCGGTATGCGGGCATATCATTTAGTCACGACAACATTGAAAGCCTGCAGGATACTCTGCAACAAGCTCAGCTTGAGCGGAGCAAGAAGTTGCAGAGCCACTACGAGTCCACCGCGACGTCGGCTCATGATGTAATTGCCGAACGAACAAGCAAAGCAGATACCGACCTGAGGACGATCTTGAGTGCGCTATATAAGCACGCACCATTCCACCAGGCTAGCTTGACGAATCCGGAACTGGACGAGCAGTTGAAGGCGATGGAGCTGGAGCTGGAGAACAAGGACCGCGAGCTGCTGGATGCAGAGGGCAGTGAATTGAGTTTGAGCGACCCCAAAGTTCGCGCGTTCATTGCGAAATACGGTAAATAAAGCAAGGTTTTGAGTGTCAAGTTTCAGGCTGGTCGGTGCGTTGTCGAGTGGAGCTGACATGGCGAGCTGGGATAATCCAGGCGCGTACCAGGACGGAGTAAACAAGACGTGGAGATGTTGTTTACCGCAGACAGATGGCAGTTTTTGGGTGAGGCCAGCGTGTGTCCTCACCGCTCTGGATCTCCGCAATGAACACGATCAGCTCGTCGGTTGCAAGCGATGGAAGCCACATGTTCGTGGGTGGAGCTCTGGGGGAGTTCAGACCTCGGGTTGGTCGCGAGGAGTGACGAGCTGCAGGCTAGAGCGCCTCCATGTGGCTAGCACCCAGCCCCCGAATAACACTAAACAGCTACGGCCCCTGTCAATGCTGCCCTGAGTAGCTGAGCGACAACAACTCTGCTCTCTTCACACCTCACCAAAGCGCCTATCCCCACTTTCCACGCCGGTTGAACCTGCGCGGGATGCTCGCGCCAGGTACAGGCAGAGACGCAGGCACCCTTTCACTCAATTGAACATCACCCTCACCAAGCCGGTAGCTCCCAGCAGCTGCCACCTCACCGCCCGTCATGGTTAAAGGAGAGATCCTCACGCTCGGTGCTGCCGCCGGTGCCCTTGGGGGTGCCTACAAGCTCGCCGAGTTCCTCACCAAGGCCAAGCGCGTCCGCGACGTTGGCCCATCCAACGCCGTCTACGTGCGCATCATTGGCCGCGTCCGATCCGACCTCGATGAAGTGCGACGCCTGCTGTCCATCCGCGAGATCCACGACATCCTCGAGGCCAACCCGGAAAAGTCAAAGTGGGTCTACGGATGCATGCGCGACGTGCGCGGCGCCCTTGAGAACATCACGCCGCACACGGAGCGCGTCGCCGGCGATGTCGAGGACGGCCGCCGCATCGGCATGCGGCACCGCGTCTACTGGCTGCTCAGCGAGAAGGAGAAGCTCGAGAACCGGGAGAAGGAGCTCGCCATCGCGCATTCTAGTCTCAGCGAGGTCATCGGCTACCTGACTGCTCTGGAACCAGTCGAGGAGCCCAAGAAGCCCAAGGCGACCACCAAGGAGACGCACATCGACATCGACATCCATCAGGAACCTCCCCAGCCCCAGCCTCAGGCCCAGCCCACCCACACGACGCACATCGAGAGGGATGTCTGGGTCGAGCGTGATGGCGCGCCGCCGCGACACGTAGAGGAGCACCGCGATGTCTGGGTTGAGCGCGACCGTCAGCCCCCAGCTCACTACGAAGAGCGTCGCGACGTGTACATCGACGAACACCAGCGCGGACCCCAGCACTTCGACGACCGCGGCCCTGCTCCCCGTCACGACGTCCACTTCGAGCAACAAGGTCGTGACGGCCGCTACGAGACCCACTACGACGAGCGCTACCAGCAGGAAGACCACTACCGCTCTCAGTACCCCATCGAGACTCAAGGCACCTACAACCCGCGCTTCCCCGAGCCCCTTGGCCGCCGCCCTGAATCGTACGAGGACCGTCTCCCCGAGCGCGACTCCTGGATGCAGAGCAACGCGCGCGCCCAACGCCCAGGTCAGTACGGCCCTCGAGCCCCTGCGTACGCCGAATACGGTGCCCCGCAACCCATTGGTGCAGCGCACTATTCGCGTAGGTTCCAAGGAGACGCGGGCTTTGGCGACGAAGAAATACTAAATCCACAACCAGTGCCGTTGGACAGGAACTACGCCGACCGCGAGGTGAGTGGTTACAACACTGCTGGCTACCCGCCCCGCCCCTACGGTAGCAAGCTCTAGCTGTTAGCACAAGGCTAACTTGCTGGGCAGATGTGGATTGAACAAAAGGAGGACTACCGCTTCGATCAGTATGGAAACAGGCTGCCGGATAGGCTCTTCCAGCCGGCTGTCCCTAGGCCCTATCGCAGCCGCATGTAAACAACTTGCAATACCTCTTTTGATTACGATCTTAATCTCCTTGTTACCCTGTCATGAGCCCTTTTTGTCCTTTTGCTTTACGCAAGCATGTACACCCCCCTGCGAAGCCCCGAGCCCGATCAATGTTTCTATGTAGCTGCCAATTCAAGTTGATACCTTTCCGACCGGTCGCTATTTCCTCGTTCGCCTTACTTGGTTTATCGGCAGCGCAGTCGTCGTCGCTCCTTCCTGAAGATGCCATCCGCCCATTTTGCCCAAGGACATTTGAAGATGGTATCATGGCTCCCCCTCGCTTCCGGCGTTGCACCCACGGTACTCACTGTACCGCTACCAGAAGACAACACCACAGACCCTGAGAGATTGAGGGATGGATAAATCCTGTCCTGCTCACCTTTCTTTCTCGTCCTTTCGACTTTCAGATAACTATTCCAGTCACCCACTACTAACAGAAAAAACGACACCAGACTACAAACCTCTCACCACTAGCAACGCCATCATGGCGCGCCCCCGCATGAACCCCCTCAAGGAAGCCCGCTCCTGCCTCACCCTCTTCACCCACTCTCGATCAACCCGCTGGCCCTCTCGCACTGGCCTCGCAACCGACATCCTCCTCTTCCTCTCCATCCTCTTCGCCGTCGCGCAACTCGGCTTGTGCGTCGCCATGGCCCACCGTCTACTCGCCTCTCCCCAAAGCGAAGTCGAATGCTGGAATGTGGATGACAGTAGCAACTTTGACTTCACCAGGTATGGGCTATACAGTGATACGGATGGATATGTGTTGAATAGGGTCGTGAAGACGTTGCCGGTGCTGTATGCGAATGTGGATCGCGTGAAGTTCTGGAATGGGATGGATGTTGGGTGGAATAATACGGACCCGGGGCTGATGGGGCCCGAGTATCTGAGTGGGAAGGCAAGGGGAGGGGTCTTGTAAGTTTTGTCTTTCTGTCGTACCATCCCATCCATGAAGATATACTAACCAACACCCTCGCAGCACGATCATAGCAATCCTGATCTTCAACCCGCTTCTCCTAGTCGTCGATCTCCTCCTTCTCCTTCGGAGCCACTACCGCTCCGCACGCGTCTCAAACCGTGCTGGCATGCTTTGGTCTACCTGCCTCGCCGTCTACTTCGTGCTCGTCGCTTTGGGTACGGTTTGGATGAATACTTTCCCCAGTAGCAAGATCGATTATAGTTTGAGGCACACTGTGGCTTTTACTAGGGATTCGTGTTGGCAGTACGATAAGACGATGTATACGTTGGATAGGTGGAGTGGATGGGCGAAGGGGATTGAACGGGGTTGTGAGGTTTTGGGCTTGTTGGGAGCGGTTTGGTAAGTTTTACGGCAACACATGGATGGTGGTGTTGGAGAAATAAGCTAATCAATAACAGCATGGCTATCTACTTCGGCTTCGCCCTTGCTGCTGCATACATCAACCGCAAGACGGATGCGCAACAGTCGATGCGACTAGACGATCTCAGTGGCTCTTCCTCCCTAACTCCCGCCCAACAAAACCTTCGCGACTTCCCTTCTTCGAGTCTCGGTGCTCATGCTACGCCCGTTCCGCTGAACAATTTCGGTCTCACATTCATCGATGGTACTCCAGGCCAGCAGCCGAAGACCGCGACATCACGAGCGTCGCCCGAGGACCTAGAAGCGCATGCAAATCCGTTTACGGATCCGGCAAACCTGATTAGGGAAGGGGCAGAGGACCGACAGGTTGTGCCGCCAGAGCCGGCAAGACAATGGAGGTAGACGGGTGTGACAAAGGTGCCAGGAAGTGTACCGGCAGTATGGATCGGTATTAACCACTTTTCCGGTATCCGTCCATCTCCGTCGATGCCTCGGTATTTTGTAGCTGACACTTTCATGACAGATTAAAAATCTCGCTCGCTACTTAATTGACGATTCAAAATATTTACTTCCACTTACGATCGACTATGCTCATGTTTTCGCTAACCACTAAGTCAGCTAATCACATTGCCATCCCAAAACGGACGTGAAAGAGACTTGGACAATGATGGTGTCGTCTGATACTCGACAAAGGGCGTTGCTATCTACCTTGGTGTCTTTGTTCGTTGTATCCCGTCGTCTTTTCAGTGTCTTCGGCTTTGTTCAAAGAACTCGAGGAGGATGCTACATATCAAGCTTGTACGTCCGCGGCATCTATGACACTCGTTAATTCTATCAAAAGGACACCACGAATAGATTTGTTGCAAAATGGCAGGCACTCCAGAAGATACCGCCAACGGCTCGACAGAAGTTGATGATATCCAAGGCACACCAGCGGTTGACGCTACTAGCAATGACGAAGGCACACAAACAGACACACCAAAGACTGACGACCAACTTATCGAGGATTGGCTAGGCACTAGTCTAGTCGAACTCAAGAATGAGCATGGCTACACTCGCGAGATCGGAGTCCGGGAATACTTGGACATCACAACTACAAGAGGCGATAACCCTGCTTGCTGGCTCGAGGCTGGTAGTCTCGATGTTGCCTTCGCTCTATTGACTGCGCAAAAAAAGGGGGGAAACGTTTGCGCACTCCCAATTTACCAGGGTTGGGATTTGTTTAATTTCGGTAACGGAAATTGCACCATGGAGGACTTACTCAAAGATGTTACCATTGAGCCGACATTAAAAGATTCAAAGCGTTATATTGTAGTGCCTGTCAATGACGGGCCATTAACAACTAAGGAACAACGCGCATGGTATAAGGAGAAAGCGAGAAAAGCAGAGGAAGCTAAAAAGGCTAAGGCAGCTCGAGAAGCAGGTACTCAAGGAGTCGAAGAAGGCGAGGTGATGGAAGAGGAAGAGGAGCTTTCCGAAGGGCCTCCAGTTATCGGTTATCACTGGGGTCTCTTAGTAGTCGACAAACAATCAAAGACAGCACGCTGGATTGATGGCAACATCAGACTCGTGCGCAGGAACGGAAAGACAGAGCGTCTTCCTGCTGACATGTCTAGAGCGGCAACAGTTGCCGGCAAAATTCTCTGTGCCATCGAGCAGGTTCTCGGGCCTGAGCGAGGAATGTACAATGCAAAAACCGCCAAATATGTTCCGCACCAGTTCGATGACAACAGCTTTCAGGCCGATGGTGGAGCGTGCGGCCCGTACGTCGTTGCCTTTCTCGAATACCTGTACAAAGACTCGTCGCCCTACTTACGCCATCTGGGTGCTGCTTTTCGGAGGCGGAATAAGAAACAACATTGTAACGACTTGGCCTTTGATTCTCTGTACACAAGAGTGGAGATGCAGAAGATCATACAGAATAAGAGTGAGGAAGATGCCAAAGCTGGTGAGCTTTCGTTGAAGATGACACCGGATGTCTTTCGCATTCTGAACCCCAAGGTCGTTGCGCCTTGGGTGGCAACCGCTTGGCGGGATCGAATAGGCAAGCCAGATACACCGAGGTTGTTCGATAAGTACGTATTCCGTAAACATGCGGCTAGAGGTAACAGGCATAGCGGCGGCGGCGGCGGTGGTGGTGATGGTGGTAGTGGTGGCGGTGGTGGCAGAGGATCCCGTCCCGGTGGTGGTAACAGGGGAAGACGCCCAACTCCTCCCCCCGAAAAGAATGTTTGGGATACGGACGACGAAGATGAGGACGACACTTACATCGACGATTTGAACGATCCGCAAAACACCCAAGCATCCAAAAACATCCTTCGCGGATTTATTCGAGAGCGACCTGGCCATTATAGAGGTTGCACAACAAAGGAAGAGGCCTATAGGCTGGCATGGAGGACAATGAAGGATGAGGACAAGAAGGCAGCGGAAGAGGCAGCGGCTAAACTCGCTGCAGCTGGCAATCCTCGAGCAGGCGGTGACCCTCCACCAGACGATGATCCTCCACCAGCCACTAACAATCCACCGCATCGCGCTTTCCTCCCTCTACTCAACTGCCCCGACACAATCACCGATATCCCCGCAGACTTCGCCGACGAGCAAGCAGTACCCTCCGAGCAAATCAAGCTATGGCGAGAAAGCAATCTCGAACGTATCGAACGATGCCAACTTGGCAACAAAGCCACAGAAGACGGTATCTCGATGAGAGCAATACTACAGGCTCTTTCCGGCGCCTCATTCAGCGACGAGTCTAACGATCGCTTAACCAGTACATGGCTCAAGGACCCCGACCTCTTCACCGACGACGATCGCAAGACCTTGACTGAAATCCCGAATATCATCGGAGAGAGAATGAAGGAGAGGTATGAGGTCTTTGATGAGAGACAGCCAGCCGCTGCCAAGCGATCTCGCGGTGGCGAAGACAACATGGGTGGCCACAAGAAGGCGAGGATGGCGGAAGACGACATCATGGATCTAAGTGACTCGGTCGACGAAGACGACTTGAACTTTGATTCCGACGAAGAGCCCGAACAAAACAGTCCTGCTGCGGCATCCGGTAAGTCCACCACTCCAGGTGCTAAGCAAACCAAGCGTCCACCCCCAGATTTTCTCAAAATGCCAGACTCTGATATCATTCTCTAGGCTAGGAAACTTCCGTCCGACGTGAAAGACTCACTGCTTGACGATATTGGGGAGCAGTTGATGTGGCCAAATCGGGCGCGTTTCTATCTCGAGCGCATATACAAGAAGACGTTTCAGACATGGGCTGCTGAGGACCCCTTGACTGCTGAGAGCTTGAAAGGAATCAATCAATGGAGGAGATTGGGTACTTTTGCAGGCGTGTACACGAATAAGACACCAGCAGGTCTGAGGAAGTTCTTGGTAGATGTACTTTTGGCGAATGAGAGGAAGGAAGGCGATGGGAAGGAGAAGACGGTGGTGAAGATCGATTTGCCGGATTATAGTAATGACAAGGATAAGTGGCCGAAAGAATGGAAGTAGGAGATACGGGTATGATTCCAGACAGAGATAGAGCGACCGGTTCGGTTCTTGTTTTGGAAAGTAAAAGGAGGTTTGTGAAGTAGCTCATGCGTTGATGTTTCCAGGCAAGGCTCAATGGATGCTGAACGTCTTTGATCTATCTCGTATCTCCTCCTTGCTCATACCAGAGAATATCTCCCCTTCCATGTGTCCATGTACGTAGCAGGCTCCGACAAGCTTCACGCGAGTGATGCGGAAGTTAGGGCTTTCGATCTTTTTGAGTATGACCGGCACCGACAACCCGTACAGGATGCAAACCGATGCATAATCTTGAGATGATATGTTTTCTGGCCCAAACCCTACAATGACGTCCATCTCAGCTCCTGTGGGGCTGGAACCAGTATCGCTGTTCTCACAACGAAATGATCGCCGGTTTGCAGTCGCTTCTTGTACTCGTCTGAGATAGTTTACCAAAGTAGCTGGTTGCGATAAATCAGCGGTTAAGGCTGTGATATCGAGGTTACCGGAATGATCAAGCTTTGTGAGTGCTAATGCACATGCGCGCCGATACCAAGTAGGAGCAGCTTTAGATTCTGGGTCGCGATTTGCGACGAGGGTTCTCCAAAGTTGGTCATCGACGCCTTTCTCCAAGGTCCCCTGCCATCCAAGCGTTCGGAGCCAATCATCTTTGAGTAATCCTTCACTAGCGGCTGACGCGGAGACGGTTGTGATTCTGCCCAGTATCATACCTCTAACACGCAAAACATGTCTCTTATCTCGTAGCACTGGGCGCCGCTTCATCATGACGACCCCTTCGTCACCCGAAATGCTTGAGAACGATGGCGTACGAAGTGTCAAATCGCCTGTTCCTGTGACTGTCTCGCTTTGAACTGCTAAGCCACGGGATGCGTCATACACTCGGCCGCCAACCGGACCTAGAAGGCCTTCCGGCGGAATGCGTCGCGGATCAGAACCGTCTTGATCGAATAATGCTACACCAATCCAAGAAGGCAGAGTTCGGCCTTCGTAGTTCACATCACGCGCTGCAGATGGCCAGTTTGCCCAAGGCCGACAAAGGATATCCAAGCACCCAGATTCTGCTATACTATAGCGGACGAAAATCTCAAAGATCTCTGCTGGATGCTTCGAGTAATCAGACGAGAAGATCTGCCGAGCGGGCGATTTGAGCCGCGTGATAGCAGACCGATAGCTATCGTTCGCAAGATACAACAAAGCGTAGACTACGTCTCTGATGTCCGATACTGCGAAGGCCGAGGCCGCGAGAACCAGTGATTCCAGATTCCTCAACCTTGAGATGATCAATGAATTTGACGACTTTCGGAATATGTTGCGCGAGAACGTCATCAACGCTACAGCTTGCGAACATTCGATACCGGCCAAAGCGACGGGATCGAGTGTGAATAGCGATGATTGGCGATACAGCGCTCGCATCCGATTGATGTTATCAGAGTAAAGCTCCACGGCATCCGCAAAATCCAGCCAGCTCAAGATCTGATCCGCTGTGCGTACGCATAGTTTCCTTGCACAAGCGACTTCCTGGATGACCCATCGGCGCTTGAACCACGGCCGCTGCAAAAGCCTGCCAAAAGCGACCCAAGAGCAAAGAATTTCTTCACTAGGAGTCTCTCCTCGCAGGGCAACATCGAGCGTCTTGAGGTTCAAGAGTTTTGGCACTAGGCCTACAGCCCTCCTGACATCTTTCATAGTTTCTTGATCTCCACCAAGCCACGCAATGACATTCCACGCATTCGAATAGATGTCCGGCATCTTCAGAATCTGCTGGCCTTTTTCAATTTGATCATCTTGATTCAAGCACAAAGCATCTACCCAGATCCACAGATAATCGTCTGCAAGACGGATATGTTGTAAGGCTTGATAGAGATTCTCTCGGACTAGGTGTG